AAATTAAAAATTAGCAGGATGTGGTTATATATGCCTGTGGTCCCAGCTATTTGGGGGGCTGAGATGGGAAGATTGCTTAAGCCAGGGATTTCAAGGCTGCAGTGAGCTATGATCACACCACTGCACTCCAGCCTGGGGCAGAGAGAGAGAGAGAGAGAGAGAGAGAGAGAGAGAGATCCTGTCTCTAAAATAAAAATAAAATTTTTAAAAGTTCCCAGGTGACAGGCCAGGTATGGTGGCTCACACCTGTAATCCCAGCACTTTGGAAGGCCGAGGCAGGCAAATTACTTGAGGTCACGAGTTCAAGACCAGCCTGACCAACATGGTGAAACCCTGTTTCTACTAAAAATACAAAAACTAGCTGGGCATGGTGGTGGGTGCCTGTAATCCCAGCTACTCGGGAGGCTGGGGCAGGAGAGTCACTTGAACCTGTGAGGTGAAATTTGCAGTGAGCTATAATTGTGCCACTGCACTCCAACCTGGGTGACAGAGTGGGACTCCATCTCAAAATAATAATAATAATAATAATGATGAAGTTCCCAGATGATGGTGATGCTCTAAGTCAGTGGGCCACATGGACATACAAGACCTTGGATGACCCCAAATCAGAGTTTAAAGACCTCAGGATTTTTCTGAGAAGCAAAGCAAAAGCAGGAACAGAAACAAATGGAGAATGATAGTGAACCAGCAATCATAGAAGGAAGTGCCTGGTTCAGCTAAACCTGGAGCTGTTCAAGCAAGGGCACCCAAGAGCGGGCTCCCAGAACCTGCTCTGTGCAGCCTTGGTTCTAGACCTCTGGCTTTACTCACCCAACTTCCAACCTCCTACCTGCCCCTTGCATCTGATGCCTAAGATAGATTGAGCACACCTCATGCCCTGCAGAAGAGAACAAGGTGCCAGGGAAAAGAGGGAGTCACCTGCTGCCCCAAATTAAGGACTTCAACACGCCGACTTTGTTGGTGCACTGAAGATTTGGCAAAGGCTGGGCACGGTGGGGTGACTCACACCTGTAATTCCAGCACTTTGGGAGGCTGAGGCAGGAGGATCGCTTGAGTCTAGGAGTTTGAAAGCAGCCTGGGCAATAGAGTGAGACCTTGTCTCTACAAAAATAAGTTTAAAAATTAGCCAAGCACGGTGGTGCACACCCGTAGACCCAGCTACTCGGGAGGAGGAAGTGGGAGGATTGCTTGAGCCCAGGAGGCAGAGGCTGCAGTGTGCTGAGATCACACCCTTGCACTTCAGCCTGGGCAACAGAGTGAAATCCTGTCGCAAAAAAAAAAAAAAAAAAGATTTTGCCAAAAGCCCATGCCAGCCTCTGCTGAGGATGGCTCATGGGTCACAGAGCTGGATGGGGATTGCCTAACAAAGGAAAAGCTCAAAGAGGAACAGCCTTGACACCACTGACCACCAACAACCACGCCCAGCCCCATGGCCAGCAACGGCACTGCAGAAAGAGAGGGAAACGAGAAAGAAGGAAAATTCCCGCGCCTGGAGCAGGTAAAGCCAACAAATGCAAAACCTGCGGTCAGGTTGCTCAGAAGCACTTGCCCCGGGGTGGAGATGTTGCTCTCACTGCATGGTCTAAGCCTATCTAGGATCTGCTTGCCCATCTCATTCACCCATTGATTCCTGTCTGGAGGCAATTCTGCACCCCCCCCAGGAGACTTTTGGCCATGTCTGGAGACATTTTTGGCTGTTGCAACTGGAGGCAGGAGGTGGTTACTACTGGCATTTAGAGGGCAGGTGCCAGGGATGCTACTTAATATCCTACGATGCACAGGATAGCCCCTTAGAACAAAGAATTACCTGGACCCAAATGTTGACAGCGCTAAGGTCCAGAAACTCTGAACTAGCCTGAGTTCTGCCAGCCACAGACGGCGGTTTGGATTCTTGCTACAAACAGCGCACGCATCTTTTCTAACACGCAATCGCCACCACCTCCTCTTCTTCATTCCCTTCAAAGTGGAGCTTATTTGCAAAAAGACTAAGTTCTAAATCCCAGCCAAAGAGCCATCTCTTTCTGGGAGTCTCTTGAATCTGGTACTCTTTCTTGAGTAGAGACTCTTCCCCTCGCAACCCCGCAACCACCAAGAGCCCCAAGAAGCAGAAAACGACCTGTTATGGATAAAATTATATGCCTCCCCACCGTCAAATTCATATGTTGCGATCCTACTCCCCCACTTCTATCCTTTAGGATGTGACCTTATTTGTAAATAGAGTTTTTGTGAATGTAAATAAGCTAAGATGAGGCCACACTGGAGTCTGGTGAGCCCCTAATCCAGTGTGGCTGGTATCCTTATAGAAACGGGAAATTGGGATACAGACAGGGCCATGTGACGCTAAGGGATGAAGCCAGGAGAGATGCCTGGAACGGATCATTTCCTGGCACCTTCATATGAAGCTCAGCCCTTGATCTTAGACTTTAAGCCTCCAGAACTGCAAGGGAATATATCTCTGATGGTTAAGCCACCTGGTAAGTGGTGCTTTGTCATGACAGCCCTAGCAAACCCATCCATGGCTCAAGTCCAGATGCTGCAGGAGGATTCCCACAATATCAAAAGCTGGGACTTAAAGGGACTGTTGCCAGTCCTGAGTTAGCCCAAGGGACCCTGTGCCCAGGGAGCCATCCCTGGTTCTTTCCAGGGAGCCGCCAAGGAGAGGGCAAAACAGAACGAGGATGCACACATCAAGAGAGCCCAGAAGTATGATTGAAAGGACGCGAAGAAGAGAAGGTGACTGCCCTCCAGGGGGATGGATTGGGCCACCAGACTTACCCGAGCTCAAGAAGGGTTTGCCACACAGGGGGCAGCTGGAGGGGCTGGAGAAGGTCCCTTGCACGAGCTGGTGCCCATTGACACACTCCCGCCTCTCTCGTGCATCCTGGCCCTTGTCCTTTAGATGTGCCGGGCTCTTCCCCTGGATGGGACAGAGGCAGGTCTCAGGATGCCCTCTGCAGGGGGTGGCCCTCTTAGGTACTGTGTACGCAGCGCACCGCCAGCCCCAGTCACAGGGCTCCCGGGTTAAGGGCAGCATGCCAAGCTGGGGAAGGCAGAGGGGGGCCCCCGTGGCTCAGCTCCCCTGACCTTCTCCTTCTGCCTGGTCACTCGACTGCGGAGGCAGCTCAGCCTGCGCTTCACGCTGGTACTCTTGTCACTCTTCTCATTCTTGCCAGCACTGTCCTCGCTCCTGGGGGATGAGAGGGAAGGTCCACTAGAGGGGGCCAGGGGCCATTCTGAGGCAGCCCTGTGGGTTGCTCCAGGAATCCACCTGGAACCTGTCTCCCTGTGGCCTCCCGGTCCTGCCTTAACCCTTCCCTGGCCCTTGATTTCCTCCTTCCCTCCCTCCTTCCCTCTCTTATTCACTCAGCAAACATGAATTAATGTTTGCAAAGTTCTGGGAGCTTTGGGGACTGGGTTTGCAGACAGAAATGCAACATGATCTCAGGTTTGAGGTACGTCAATGCCTGGGCTGGGAATTTCAGCTCTGTTCACTTGTGATTTCTACCTCTAATTCACACCCCCCCACCCCCACCCCGTATCTAATTGACCTTATTTATTTATTTATTTATTTATTTATTTATTTATTTATTTTTTGACACAGAGTCTCACTCTGTAACCCAGGCTGGAGTGTAGTGGTGCAATCTCCACTCACTGCAACCACTGCCTCCAGGTTCAAGCGATTCTCATGCCTCAGCCTCCCGAGTAGCTGGGACCACAGGTGTGTGCCACAGCTAATTGTTGGTTTTTCTTTTGTTTTTTGTTTTTGTTTTTGTTTTGAGACTGAGTCTTGCTCTGTCGCCCAGGCTGGAGTGCAGTGGTGCGATCTCGGCTCACTGCAAGCTCTGCCTCCTGGGTTCACGCCACTCTCCTGCCTCAGCCTCCCAAGTAGCTGGGACTACAGGTGCCCGCCACCACGACCAGCTAATTTTTTGTATTTTCAGTAGAGACAGGGTTTCACCGTGTTAGCCAGGATGGTCTCGATCTCCTGACCTCATGATCTGCCCGCCTTGGCCTCCCAAAGTGTTGGGATTACAGGTGTGAGCCACCACGCCCAACCTGTTTTGTATTTTTAGTAGAGGCGGGGTTTCACCGTGTTGGCCAGGCTGGTCTCGAACTCCTGACCTCCGGTGATCCATCCGCCTCAGCCTCCCAAAGTGCTGGGATGACAGGCATGAGCCACCGCACCCGGCCCTAATTGGTCTTTAAATCCTGCTCGTTCTTCTATCTCCTTCCCCATCCCCAACTCCATCCCCAGGTCACTGGCATGGCTTCCTGGATTTCAGGCACACCCTCATTTAATAAATATTAGGTCAGTGACATATAAGGCAGACATGATTCCTGCTCTAGTAGGATCTGTTTTCTGGGCGGAGATGCCATTTCTCCAGTCTGTGCCCCCGATCCCAGTCCAAGTGGCTTCTGGAACTTTGTAAATATCCGTAAATGTTTGTTGAATGAATGAATGAGTGAATGAGAGAGGGAGGGAGGAAAGGAGGGAGAGAGAAGGATTCAGGGACCTTCAGCCCTGTCTGTGATCCTCATCCTGTCCCCATCCTATCACCAGAACTGATGATGCTCATGCTCGTAGGCCCCCCTGCTATTTATTTATTTATTTATTTTTGAGAGGGAGTTTCACTCTGTCATCCAGGCTGGAGTGCAAGGGTACGATCTCGGCTCACTGCAACCTCCGCCTCCTGGGTTCAAGTGATTTTCCTGCCTCAGCCTCCTGAGTAGCTGGGATTACAGGCACCCGCCACCACGTCCGGCTAATTTTTGTATTTTTAGTAGAGATTGGGTTTCACCATGTTGGTCAGGCTGATCTTGAACTGCCGACCTCAGACGATCCACCCTCCTCAGCCTCCCAAAGTGCTGGGATTATAGGCATGAGTCATCACGCCCGAGCCCCACTGCTCTTTAGGATAAAGTCTGAGCTCTGTCGTGTGGCTGAGGTGGTCTGGTCTCTGCTGACTTCTCCCACCTTCCCTCCTTCCCGCCCTACTCTGATGTCATTCCCTAAGCCTTCTAATTCCATTTTGTTTCCTTCATCCTCATCTGCACATATTGGCAAACTCCTACTCTTCTGTCAGAACCCTGCTTACATCGTCACCTCCTCCAGGAAGTCTTCCTCTGTTCTCTCAGGGTATACGAGAGCCTCATCCCTCCCTTCCCTGCCAGCTCCCCCCATTGCCCTGATGGGGGCCTCAGCTCCTGCCTCCAGCACAGGGGGCCTGGCCCAAAGGACCATCCGTAAACCCTTGTTCAAATCCAAGGCTGCCCTCCCCTGCCGTTCTCACTTGCAGCAGGTCTGTATACTTACTCCGACAGGAATTCAAACCAGGTCAGGTTCGAGTGGGCTTCTCCGGAGCTGGGTGACATGCAAGCCCTCTGCCGGGCCCTGCAGGATCAGAGGAGACAGATACCTGGGTCGGTAGCCTCCTCTCCCACTCACCTACCCCAGTGCTACCAAGTACAGGCAGGCACCAGGTACCCCGTCTAAGAGCCCACCCGTCCTTGACACTCTGGGCTTGTTTGTGAGACATTGTGACAGGTTTTCCAGCAGAGGGCAGTAATGTGTCTTGGCTGAACAAAATCAGTGTTAGCAGGAAGATTTTTTTTTCTTTTTAAATAGAGATGGGGTCTCGCGCTGTTGCCCAGGCTGGAGTGTAGTGGTACAATCACAGCTCACTGCAGCCTCGATCTGTGGGGCTTGAGCAATTCTCCTGCCTCAGTCTCCTGAGTAGCTGGGACTATAGGCATATGCCAATATGCCTGGCTAATTTTTAATTTTTTTTTAACCAAGTACTTAAATCTTACACAATTTTTTTTTTTTTAAACAGGGTTTGGCTCGGTTGCTCAGGCTGGTGTGCAGTGGCATAATCATGGCTCATGGCAGCCTTCAATGCTTGGACTCAGCCATTCTCCTGCGTCAACACCCCCACACCCCCCAGAGTAGCTGGGACTACAGGTATGTGCCACCACGCCCAGCTAACAACAACAAAAAAATTATACAGACAGAGTCTCACTCTGTTGCCCAGGCTGGTCTCAAACTCCTAGGCTCAAATAATCCTCCCACCTCAGCCTCCCAAATTGCTGGGATTACAGGCGTGAGCCACCTCACCCAGCAAATTTTTAATTTTTTTTGTAGAAAGAGGGTCTCACTATTTTTCCCAAGCTGGTCTCAAACTCCTGGCCTCCAAATGATCCTCCCACCTTGGCCTCCCAAAGTGTTGGGATTACAGTGGTGTGAGCCACTGCACCCGGCTACAAGAAGATTTTGTAACAGATGGCAGTGTCTTAGGCAGGAGGCACCTTTACCTGTTTGCTCCAAGGGCCCCCTGTGCCGGGGCAGCCTGCCCACTCCACCTCTTGTCTTCTAGCCTCCTCCCTCCTCTCCTGCCTCATTTTTCTTCCCTTGAATGCAGCCTTCCCTTTCTTCTTTCTGTTTTTTTTTAAGTCAGAGTCTCGCTGTGTCACCCAGGCTGGAGTACAATGGCGCGATCTCGGCTCGCTGCAACCTCCACTTTCCGGGTTCAAGCGATTCTCCTGCCTCAGCCTCCCAAGTAGCTGGGATTACAGGTGCCCGCCACCGTGCCTGGCTAATTTTTGTATTTTTAGTAGAGACAGGGTTTTGCCATGTGTGCCAGGCTGGTCTCGAACTCCTGACCTCAGGTGATCCACCCTCCTCAGCTTCCCAAAGTGCTGGGATTCCAGGCATGAGGCACCTCACCCAGCCCTCACCCAGTCTTCTCTACCCCTGTCTCCCACACCTGTACACGCCCCTGCATGTCTCCTACTCTTGTCTCCCACTTTGTTCCTCCACGTCTGTCCCCTCATGCCTGTCCCGATTCCCACTTACCCATGGTACTGTCGAAGTTCTTGAAGCACCTGCTGGACAATCAGCCTGTGGGGGTTGGGGTGGGATTAGAACAGCCCACGTTAGCTCCAGGTGACAGACACCCTCCCAGAGACAAGCTGGGGTTGCCCAACCAGGCCTCAGGTCCTGATGCAGACCCTGCTCAAAGCCAGCTACTCTGGAGGCTGAGGCAGGAAAATCGCTTGAACCTGGAAGGCAGAGGCTGCAGTGAGCCGAGATTGTACCACTGCACTCCAGCCTGGGTGACAGAGGGAGACCAAGTCTCACAAGAAAAAAAAAAGCCACAATTATCTCCCAAGGCTACACTGAGAACCTTTCTGAGGGGCCTGGGCCTCTCCCGCCGGGAGAAGGACGGTGTCAGAAAGAAGATGAGGTTATGGGGGACTAGTGGGATGGTGTCTGGCCCTGGTCACTTATGGCCAGCAATGCTGCACCCTGGCAGCCCTCCTCCCGCAGCCCTCCTCCCGCAGCCCTGACTTTCCGGTCTGTTCCCTGGTGGTCCCTCCCCCACCACGAGGCAGAAACTCACACGTGATCTGGTTCCACGTGGTCTTTTTCCATGCACTCCAGCACTGGAGGTTCCAGGCCTGGAAGAAGCCCCCCCCCGATCCCAGGAAGCACAGTTGTGAGGAGTTCTGGGACAGGACCAGCCCAGCAGAGCCCTCCCGGATGCCACCCTGAGCCCCTGCAGAACTGGAGGCCATGCAGACAAGGCCTGTACTCTCAGGGAACAGAGACGAGAAGAGGACAGAGAGCCAGGGACAAACGCAGCTGTCCCCAGTGTCTCGTGGGTGCTTACACCCTACTAAGTGCTTTACATGTGTGAGCTCAGCAGACTCTCCAAGTGGCCTTAAGGAGATAACGCTTATTATCTCCCCTCCCCTTTTTTTCCTTAGACAGAGTCTCACTCTGTCACCCTGGATGGAGTGCAATGGCTCAATCTCGGCTCACTGCAACCTCCGCCTCCTGGGTTCAAGCGATTCTCCTGCCTCAGCCTCTAGCTGGGATTACAGGCACGCACCACCATGCCCGGCTAATTCTTGTATTTTTAGTAGAGATGGGGTTTCACCATGTTGGCCAGGCTGGTCTCAAACTCCTGATCTCATGTGATCCACCTGCCTCGGCCTCCCAAAGCGCTAGGATTACAGGCATGAGCCACCGCACCAGGCCTTTTTTTTTTTTGAGACAGTTTCACCCTGTCACCCAGAGTGGAGTGCAGTCCTGCCATCAGAGCTCACTGTAGCCTTGACCTCCTGGGTTTAAGCGATCCTCCCATCTCAGCCTGGGATGAGGCTGAGATGTATCAGTAGCTGGGACTACAGGTGCACACCGTCATGCCCAGCTAATTGTTTTTATATTTTTAGTAGAGACAAGGTTTTGCCATGTGGCCCAGGCTGGCCTCAAACTCCTGGGCTCAAGCTATTCACCTGCCTTGGCCTCCCAAAGTGCTGGGATTCCAGGTGTGAGCTGCCGCGCCTCTTCTAATAGAGGAAGCCACAGAGGCTCAGAGACTTGTTATGTGTTTAGACTCCAGGTTTGTCTGATGCCAGAGAGGTGCAAGGTCTCACGATAAAAATTCAGAGATAAAGAAAGAGATAAAGAAACAGAATGCCAGGCGCGGTGGTTCATGCCTGTAATCCCAGCACTTTGGGAGGTTGAGGCGAGCCGATCACTTGAGGTCAGGACTTTGAGACCAACCTGGCCAACATGGCAAAACCCTGTGTCTACTAAAAATACAAAAATTAGCCGGGCGTGGTATCGGGTGCTTGTAGTCCCAGCTACTTGGGAGGTTGAGGCAGGAGAATCGTTTGAACCCGGGAGGCAGAGGTTGCAGTGAGCTGAGACTGCACCACTGCACTGCAGCCTGGGTGACACAGCAAGACTCTATCTCAAAAAAA